CGAGGAGTGGCTGGTGGGTTTGAACCGCCAGCCTTCTGTTAGCAATCAAATGCCTTAGGCACTATGCTTCCCATTAATAGGTGTCACAAACAGTTAATTTAAGCAAACATTTGAAAGGTTGGCAGTTTGAATCCACCGAGAAGATCCTCAAGAAAGCCATAGCTATCCACTTCCAAAAGATCACAGCCATTGAAAGCCATTGGAGCAGTTCTACTCTGACACCATGAGTTAGAATTGACTTGATGGCAACTGGTGCAACATCACAAAGGAATTCTTGTGTGGTGCAAACTGTAAACACACAGCTGCTAACACACGAGTTTGAAGTTCAAGTCCACCCAGAATCATCTGGAAAGAAAGACCTATTTATTTCTGAAAAATCATCTGTTGAAAACCCTGTGGCACACATTTCTACTCTGACACACATGAGGTTGCCATGAGTCAGAATCCACTCAATAGCAACTGATTTTGTTGTTGTTAATATTACAAAAAAAGAGAGAGGCAACCAGGGTTTTATATATATATGAACACACACACACACTGATGAAAGTACACAACACAGCCTGTGAAGTAGTTGTGACAATTAAAAAACACACACACACAACTTAATCAAGTTCTAGACCTCACTTCTAGTTTATGGAAATGCAGGATACAGAGAAACATCACAGGGGTGCAATCAGCAAAATCTAGACTGTGGAAGACTTTGCATACAAGGAAAATAAAAAGGAAGAAAGACTCTGTAGATTAAAAGAAATATAAAAGGCCTATCAGCCAATCACGTATAAGGTCCTGTTTGATACAGTGTTTTGTGTTTTTACAACACCTGATGTAACAGGTGCTTAATAAATAATCTCATTGATCATGTATACAAATGACCATATGATACTTTTTCCCCACTCCTTGCTGAAGCTAAAATACCATGTTGCTTTTTTCTGCTACACACTGCCATCGAGTTGGATCCAACTTATAGCAACCTCTCCTTGGGTTTTCAAGGTGATATCACTATGGAAGTAGATTGCCCAACCTTCCTTCTGAGGAGTGGCTAGTTACAGAAAATTACAAACTGTATTCCTTTTGTTGTGATTAGTTTTTAATACTCATTATTACTGTTTTATTCTAATTTAACTGATGTGGTTGAAAACTACAGAATCAATTGATTTTCTTATCTTTATTCAAAGTCTGTATTTTAGACAGTGATAGACTTTTAATTGCCAAAACTCAGTTTGTTATTTATTTCAGATAGCAGAACTTGTAGCAACAGAATTTTTTGACCAAGGAGATAGAGAGAGAAAAGAACTCAACATAGAACCCACTGTAAGTATGAGACCTTGATGGTAGGAACTGTTTTTTCTTAGAAGAATCATATATGCTCATTATAGAAAACATAATCAAAAAAAGACAGAAGAGACTCTTGGAATCATCATATTATATCCTTTCTTCCATAACTTACTTTTTATGTAAATATTATAAGCCACTTTTCATGCTAACAAATGCACTTCTATATATTATTTATAATAATGGTATGAAATAGATGTAGTCATAATTTAAAAGCAATCACACTCTTTTGAGTAATAATGTTTACATTGCTTACTATTATAAAGAACACTGTGGAAATATCTATGTTGCAAAACTTATGCGTGCCATTCTTCATTATCTTTTTAAAATAAATTCCCACATTGCTATGTTGAAGGGCAAATAGCTTTTAAAGCTCTTTGTACATGGAGTACAGATCTCAAATACCTTATCTGCTCCAAAAACAAGAGAAAGATTCTTCTCAAACCATTTGTGTCTTTTGGAATGAGTTTTTCCTGGAAATTAAGCAGAGTCTACTTTTTGGATATAATTGCTACCTGGCCTTCCTTAGCTAGATGAATGATTCATGTTTTTAGAACTAACTTGCTTTGTGTTCTCTAAATAAATTCTTCTGGGTGTGTGTGTGTGTATGTGTGTGTCTGTGTTTTCAGGATCTAATGAACAGAGAGAAGAAAAACAAAATCCCAAGTATGCAAGTTGGATTCATAGATGCCATCTGTTTGCAACTATATGAGGTATTTATATGCAAAACTGAATAATAGGCTTGCTAAACTTAGACTGCATTGTGAATGAAACCTAAAATAAATTCAAGTGATTAACACTAGATACATAATACTTTTCTTCTTAATCAAGAAATGAGAAATTGAGTGCCCACTCTGTGCTAGACTGATGTAGGGGATTCTGAGAAGAATCCTGTACCTATGCTGACCTTACTGGGGTCTCTTGTGGATATTTTATGTTACCAAACTCTTTTTTTAATTCTAAATAAGGGAAAATAATTGTGTAATTTTTTTTCATTGTTATAGTGTAGCTTTAATTTTGTTAAGAAAAATTTTATGAGGATTACATGGGGGTGGTTAGAAGGGATTTTACAGGTTCCCATTTCTAGTCACCTGCTGGGTTTTTGTTGTTGTTTGATTTTAGGTAAATGTATTTCTTCCTAAAATACTCAATTGATTAGTTTAGATGTTTATGACCCAAATACAGAAAGTAGATGCTATCATTGTCTTTAAAAAGTTTCAACAGTAAACTTTTTAATTGTTTGTGAAAGGAGAAATCATTGAGGGTCAAAACCAGAAGAAACCCTAGACATCTAGTTCAGACATTTTACAGATTCAACAGCTGAAATCTCACTTCCATTCTAGGAAGATGGAAGGGCTTGCCCAGTCAGACAGGCAGTCTGTGGGAGAACTGCCCCTGGCGTTGCGTTCTCGTCACTAGTCTAGGGCTCTGTCCCTCAGAAATTGTAATAAAGAAGCTGTGGCTGATGAGGAGAAAAGGACAGGGAGACACTAAAAGAAGCTCGGAGGAGGTGTGAACCCTGGTGCTACCCTCTAGACCACTGTCTCCCTGCCTTTCTTTTTCATCATTGTCCTGTTTGCTCCGTTATGTACAAGTTCTTCTTTAGAAGTGAATTCAAAGCAGTGTTTGAAACACCCTGGAACATCTGTTCTTTCATTCTTTCTATAACAAGCCCTTTCTGTAATGACTGACTTTCTTAATTTCCTCAATTGAACGTACTAATAATGTCTTTATTTTTTCCCCATCTTTTACATACAGTCAAAATAGTGATCAGATACCCCCATTACAGACTTTATCCTTCTGTATTCCATGTATGTGTAAGATTTTGTTTTATTTAACTCTGCTGTTGAAAATTCTATGTGATATTGATGTGTATTTTTACCATTATTTATTATAGAAACAATATATTCTTATTGTAGAAAAATCAGGGGCTATGGAAAAGCAAAAAGGAAAATAAAAATCATTTGTAATTCCAATAACTACTGTTAATACATTACTGTATAACTTTCCCAACGTTTTTACATTTTATTCATTTACAAATACTGCTTTTTGCTATCCATAATATGTACATCTTTATTAGATGTATTTCTATGACAATATTTTTAATGGCTGCAAAATGGCAACATAATATGTCTAACTCTTTCATTGGGTAATTAAGTGATTTTCAGTGTTTCTCTGTTAACAAAAAAAATTTACAATGAACATTCTTATATTAATACTTATAACACTTTAGTTGGTAAATAACAGAATTGTAAATTAATCTTTATTATAATCTTTGATAAAAATCTATTTAAGTGCATTATATAAAACTATACTATAGAAAAACACAAAAACTAAGGCATTCCCAGTGCACAAGTGTACACACTTAGGGATCTGTGGGTGGCACCCAGATCTGTCTTCATAGCTTAGTAAGGTTTTGTGTGCATTTGTGTGCATTCAGCACATACTCCTCTGTACAGCTTCAGAGGAGTCGTTTGTAAATGATCTGCTTATGGGCTCACACAGCTTGTAAAAATCTCCAACAGTGGGCCTGCTCATGAAGTGAGTGTGGAGTGTTGCCCTTTGTGACAGGCCTGTGGGAGAGGGCTCTGTTTCCTGGCTTCCTTCTAGCTGTTTGCTTTCTCTTTCTTTCTTTAGGCCCTGACACATGTATCAGAGGACTGTTTCCCTTTGCTCGATGGCTGCAGAAAGAACAGACAGAAATGGCAGGCCCTTGCAGAACAGCAGGAGAAGACACTGATTAATGGGGAAAGCAGCCAGGCTAAGCGGAACTGAGTGGCCCTCTTCATGCAGAGTGGACATTTACAGTGTTCGGTATTCTGCATTAAGACTAGTTTTGCTATACACTGTACAGATTTGGTGTATATTTTCCCACTGCTGTATTCTTATTTTTGCACAACTTTTGAAAGCATAGCATGAAATGGTAGTAGAGGATATATTTTTTGTGTATCTGTTTTAATGCCACTCAACCAAAATAATCGACACCCACTCTTAGCACATTGATAAGAGCGCTGTTTGTGGTATTTTGTGCACTGCAAATGGCATTCTTGCACTGAGGATGTTTTTTGCTTAGAGATTTTAAATAATTGGTTTTTGTGTTTTCTGAGTTACCCATCTTTCAAGAATGTTTGTAATCTTTCCTTTCTCTCAAATAGGCTAGGAGCAAATTGAATATATTCTGTGACATGTAAAGCCTTCCTAGGACAGAGAAAAATTAAGGCTGAGTGAGTTTTAAAGGAGAAAAAGTATATTTGTCAACAATGTATTACCTTCACAAAAAAAGGTCAGGCAATCTGAAACAAAGAAAGTACTGTGAGTCAGTATTATAAAGAAAAAGGTACTAACTAATTCATTGATTTACTGTTTTAGTTAAGAACAGGCAGGAGAAGAGCTTGGTCATTTTGGTGCAGTACATCTATTCAAAGACTACTCATAAAACCTTTTAATCTAACCTATCTGGTGTAAACTAGAGGAAACCCTAAAAGATCCAGTCACTGGCTTATTGAAGGATGAGCATGATCCAGAAATGGAATGGACCAGTGTTTAATTCACTTGGGGAAGGGAAACGTTTTGTTGGAAGTCTCTTCTGAGAGTTAGTGAGTGTTTTGAATATTGAACTTCCTTTTATAAACAACTTTCTCATCTCTCATCTCCTTCTGGCATTTAAGTCAACAACTTGAGGAAATTTAGGGGGACAAAAAAACAAAAGATCATTGGATCACTGACCTAATTGAGATCTGGCTATAGATAGGAGATGAGTATAAATGGAATCCATTTTTCTATCAAGCAAAGTACAGAGAAAAACATCAGTTATATAAACAGTAAGGAACTATCCTCAATGCTGGGGTCAAAAATGATTTCAAGTGAGCTGTAACGTGAGAAACCTACGGCCTGAGTAAAACATAACAGTATCAAGGTTTATGATTGAGAATTGCCAAATTTTTATTTATAGAACAAGTTAGCCCAGAATCATAGAAGTTTTAAAAGTTATGCTAAACACTGACCCTTAGCTCGTAGTTGGCGATATTTCCTTCCCATCCTTTCTAGTACAGTTAACGTTTAACGTTTTCTGTGGAATTTGAGCCCATTTAAGTGGATTTCTGTCGTACCTGTCTGCCCCTAAACATACATTTGTTCAATATTGGCAAAGTAGCTAATGAATTAAGCAACTGGCCCAGGGAGAAAAGTATATTCCAAATATCTAAAAACATCAGGATTTGGGAAAAAGAGAAGTGAGATGTTTGATTTCTTTTACCACACCCCAAAAAAAGTTCTGTCTTCTGGGTTTGTATCACAAATTTGGATAGAAAATACTGCCATCGAGTCGGATCTGACTCATAACGATGACTCCTTGTGTTTTCGAGGTGGTATCACTATGGAAGTAGATTGCCCAGTCACTGGCTTATTCCAAGGGGTCGCTGATGGGTTTGAACCACCAGCCTTCTGGTTAGCAGTCAAATGTCTTAGGCACTACGCCACCAGAGCTCCTTATAATAATGCAGCAATCTCAAAAACCTTTCATTAAAACACATTATTTTCCATTGAAGTCACTTTTTCCCTGAACTTTGCCTAACATTCAACATGTACCTTAAGTTTTTTAAATTCTGAATTTCACATGGTGTGTATATATATCTTGACATAATGTGACTTCATTCTCATCATTCAGCCAAAAAAGAAAAAAGCAGAACAAATCATATTGCTGTTATTTTGTAGTAGCAAAGGCTAGTTTAGGAAGTTATCAAGTGTTTAATGTTATATATGTTATTGTTGTAATGCTTGGATTTTCAAGATGTTATTTTTATTTTACATCATACAGATGAGTGTAAGCTTGCTTCTTGGTGTGTAAGTTACACAAACTGTCACTAAAGTAGCAGTATTTACAAACTGGTATACACCTATGCATGCATACATAATTTCTTAGTATAAAAAAGTCTATAAAGAATAATGATCTTTTTAATAAGCTCTTTTTATCACATACATTGTGCTTACGCAGTTATACTCAAGTTTGTGGTCATTTTAGTTATGCTAAAATACTTATTATTAGTTTCTTTTAGGCCCCTCTGACATATGTCACTGAGAATTCTTTTAAAAATACGGTAGATTGTAGGTGGAGGATTTGTATGTGTGACATTTTCACAAGCAAGAAAATATATTTAGATTAGTAATTGTCTGGTTTGCCTTTGAATAATGGTTTCTTTTACTTTACTATTTAGACATTGAAAGAAGTTGGATAATGCCATGGCTATTTTATGTTAGAAGAAGAGTATTTCTTTAGGACTGGTTAATTGGTTCAAATAATTTTTAATTGTTACAAAAATCATTCCATACATGGATTAATATCTGTGGTATATGGGTACAAATCAGAGTTTTGCTCTCATGTGAATATTTCCTTTCCAATATTTTCTTAAGTTGGAAATTTATATATATATGTAGTCTTCCCTCACCTTATCCTGTATTTATATTACCCATAACAAGTAAGGAAACTTTCTTACTCTAGATAAAAGGTAGTTGTAGTTTTGTTTGTTTTAGTTACATCTGAGCAGTATGATACCATTTAATTTCAATTTCCGGCCAGAAACTGTACCCACTATTTTACTAACTGTTTTAATTGTCTGGACTTATATTCTTCGAAAGACTGGCCTTTGCTTCGGTGTGAACTTGTGTAAGCCACTTACCCTCCATGTGCCTGAGCAAGTTGTAGTCTTTCAGGAGTTATGTTTGGACTAAGCCTTTGTCTTTAATAAGAAGGATGTCGCAGAAGGCAGCTACTGTGTAATGAATAGGCCCCGGAGACTACTGCCAGCGATAGGATGCTGGGCTAGAGAGCATGATAATCTAATCCCGCTTGTCATTTTTTATGTTGAGTTTCCAAGACCTAAAACACAAAGACAACAATACACTGATTACTCGGCTTCATATGCTGATCAGTAGTGAGTGTGAGATTTAGAGTTCTTTGAGCACTTCCCTTCGTGAAGAATAGTTTCCTTCAATAGGAATACTGTAGATAAGAATGTGTAAGAAAATATATTGGATTCTGGGAGTAAACTGTTTTGTTACAGATACAGTGTTGCCTGGCAGAGAAGTGCCTTTATCCTCTGCACAGAGCATCAATATTAGACCTGCTCAGGCTTGATTTTCAATTTTTTCTGTGTTTTCCACCTATTATACTCCTAGAACTTAACAAGCCATCTCAAGCAACACTGTTTTGTTTTGTTTTTTCCAAGATTGATCTAAGCTGAGAGGAGACAATGTAATCGCTGTGAACAATTGTAGTTAAAATAAGGTGGTACCATTTAACTGCTCAGTATTAGACATTTGTCGATCCATCTTATACAGCGTTCCAGCCACATGTTGAGCTCTGTTCAGCCTTAAAGGTAGAATAGTGACCTCACAGATCACAGTCTGTGTGGAAAGTGCCAAATAATAGACGTATCATCTTCTGACACTGCCGATTTAAAGTGAAAACTTTGTAAGGTGCATTATTTCACTGTTGTTTCCATCTATAACATGTATGAATGCAATTTTCCAAGGACCTTTTTTACCTGAAATGTATAAAGAATCTGTTGGTAAACATCCTGTCACACTTGCAAGTATGAATCAATTAATCTGTTGAAAACTTAAAGAACACCTATGTCAGGAGTAATATATTCTGCTATACCGGGTATTTTTCCATATGCCAGCCAGATTATTCCAAGTTCTTTCAGATCATGAGATTGTGCACAGTTTTGGATCCCTTCTGCTCTACAACAGGGAGCAAGGGAGGAAATAGTAAAGCTCACTGTGCCCTTTCATATACTTATCAAAAGCCTGTGTAAACATGTCTTAATGAATGTTGTTGAAAGCAGTGTAAATAGTTGAAAATATGAATTTCTATTACAGTTTAAGAAAACCTTATGAATCCTCACTAGCCACTGTTAATATCTATTTGTATTCTTATACCTTTTCAATATATTTGAACAAAATATATAGTTTCTGGCACTATTTTTGTACTAGGATAAAGGAGTTACTATGTATATTATGTTTAGCTTTTAAGTCATTTTAAATCCTTGTGAATGTTGATTTCTTTGCTTTCCTCTCCCCCACGATGAGAATCATTTCAGATGACTCTTCTATGAAAAAAATCACATTAAAGGAGCATTTACCCACCTATGATCCCTATAAACTGATGAGATGGTTTGGGTGATTTTCCACTGTGCAAACTCTTCACCTGTCAGTGCTCTCCTAATTTTGCCATGCTTTGTAAAAATAAAAAAGATGAACAAGTAAGCATGGGTATTGTGTAATTCTTAAGGGACTTGAGATTTTAAGAGTGGGACATTATATGGGGACTTTGGATTTTAAGCAGGGAGAATAGTTCCAGAGACGTTAATCAAGCTCATCTGTGGTCTATGAACTGGATAAAAATGTCATTTAACCCTTTTCTTAGCCGAAATACCTCTCAGAAATAGTGTTCCTTTTATTAATATCCTTTGCTACCAGTCTTCAGGCAGCATTTTCCATAACCTTCCTATTTCAGATCCATGACAGTGCTGTTGGAGGATGATCACCACGGGGAGGGAAGGCTTAGCAGCTACCTACTCATCAAGTGGCATGAGCTAGATTTGAGCCCAGATCTGTCTCGTTTCAAAACAAGTGTTTTTATTCCACTTAAATCAGTTCTCTTTTCATTTTAAATTTAAAAGGTCCAAAATCCATTCTTACTGGATCATACTGGCAATAATATTTTCACACTAGACGCATCAGAGATAAGATTCACCTTACACAGCCGGTTTGTTTCTTTTTTCCCACAGTCAAACCAGTTGCTATCAAGTCAATTCCGACACATAGCAACCCTATGTGTGTCACAGTAGATCTGTGCTTCATAGGGTTTTAAGTGTCTGATTTGGGGAAAGTAACTAACCAGGCCTTTCTTTGAAGTGCCTGTTGGTGGTGGTGGTAGGTACTGTTGAGTTGATTGCAACTCATCGTGACCCTGTGTACAACAGAACAAAACACTGACCAGTCTTGTGCCATCCTCACAATCCTAGCTGTGCTTGAGCTCATGGTTGTAGCCACTGTGTCAGTCCATCTC